AGCCCCCAGGACCTGCACAGTTGCCTGTGGGCACCAGGGGCTTCCCAGCACAACAGGGCTGTGTCCCTCCCACCCTGGTTGCTCCCAGATGCTTTTATACCACGCCACGGAGACACGGACACTTATTTCTTCCCCATTTATCCCACCCATAAACTGTTGTCCTCCTTGTGCTGATGGAAGAAGCAAAGCAGAGCAACCTCAAGGAGCAAGAGCAGGAGTGACTGCAGCGAGCTCTCCCCTTCTCCCCAAGAAAAACCAAAGTGGCCCCAGGAGGAAGAGTTTGAACCCAGAAGAGCCCATGGGGACACAGACGACAGCCGAGGCCACCTCTGGGGCTGTCGGCAGGCGAGAGCCAAGGCAGTTTTAGCACAAGCGGTGGAGGAGCAGCGGGACGGGCTCCACAGAACTTGCCTGCTCTTCCTCATCCTCTGCCTGGGCCTGAAGCATCTGGTAGAGGCGGGAGGCAGTGAACCCCCCCGTGGAGTCCAGGAACAGGACGTGCTGCTTGAGGCCGAGGGACACGCTGGCCGCGATGCTGAGGCACACCTGGAGAGGCAGGGATGTGGCAGCAGCAAACCCCCAAAGGACAAGGGGAGCCCTCAGAGTCCCCTGACCTTGGTGGCAGCCCCAGAGCCACCAGGGACAGCCAGAAACTTGGTCCCAACCTCCTGCTGGGGCTGCTTTGTGCTCTGGGAAAGGCTGGAGACCACTGGAGATGCAACCAGTGCCTGAGCAACGCCTGTTTCACCCAGCACTTCATTTTTCCTCACACCCAAGGAAAAATTACAAGAGCAACAATTGCCAGTGACAAAATCCCTCTGATGGCCTCGGCCTGAGAGCCACCGAGACTGCCAAGCTGCAAAGGAAGTCTCCCCTCTTTGAGAAGTCCCTCTGCTCCCCTAGCTGAGGGCTCTCGGTTTGGGGCAGGACGTGCTTTGCATGCCTGAAGGTACCATATCCTCCCCACTGCCACTTTTCTCTCCTCCATCCCGCTCACCTGAGTCTTCCCGCTGCCCGGCGCGCCCATCAGCTCCGTCACCTCCCCTGTGTACAGCCCCGAGTCCAGCAGCTGGTCCAGGCTGTGGGTGCAACACAAGGTGGGACCATCAACGTGCCCCCAGCCACAAAAGCTGGGATATGGGAAGCAGCAGCACCCAGACACCCGTCCCTACACATGCCTTGGACTCTGCCCCTTCCCTCCCACCCTTGTCTCTCTGCACCAGAGGCTGCAGCAGATCTGCAGTGAGGGGGGGCAAGGGGACTGTCCTGGGCTGGAGGGGAGCTGCGGGGCTGAGAGCCGTGTCTGAACACCCAGGGCTTTCTCTGCATCCTCCCTGCTGCAGCCCAGCAAGGAGACTGGAGAAGGAGAGAAATAAGCGCAGGGAACAGAGAGCAACTCATCCCCATGCCCAATCTTGGACTTCACAACTCCAAAGCCCTCCCGGATCCACAGCCCTCTTCCCTGGAGCCCTCAAGGTGAAGGCTGGAAAGGCTGAAGGCAGTGTGTTACCCAGCCTAAAAGTGAGATGTGCAAACATTTCCCCATACACGTGCAGGCTCTTGCAAGGCCAACATCAGCATCGTTCCCTCCAGGGACAGAAACCAGCTGACTTTGCAGCCACAGGACCAAAAACCTCCTCTCTCCTCTCAAAGCCTGAGCCAGGTGGCAGCTGCTCGGGATGGTTCGAGGGCACCACCACCACCCCACAAGCAGGGTGGCCACGGCCTTTCCCCCGGCACTGTCCTCACCTGGGGCTGCCGGTGGGCAGGATGGCCGTGGAGCTCTTGAGCTCCTCGTAGAGATCTGCCCCGTTGGCAGGGAAGGCCGAGAACTGGGCCAGCAGCACTCGTCTCACCGCAACCAGCGCCTGGAGGGTGGAGAGACACCTCTAGAAGGGACCGGGGAAATTCGGGGACACCGATGCTCGCCGTGGGCTCCCCCCTCAAAATAAAAAAAGCCCACCCGAGCAGGGAGCTGAGCTCTGAGCCGGGACGTGGGGGCACCCTGTTACCTTGTAGGACAGGGAGCACTTCTGGGAGACATCCTCCAGGTCTGACGACACAAAGTCCACCACTGCAAACAGCAGGAGGGACGAGGAGCTGGGGGCCAAGCCCGGACAGCCCAAAACCACAGCAGGCAGCCCCTGCGTGGGGACAGAGCACGGTGCCCCCCCGGGAGGTGCCAGGGGCTGACTGTTCCCCACCCCGATGCCCCCCATTTTACCCGTCCTGACGCCGTTTGCCCGGAGCACCTGGATCATCTCCTCGGTGAGGCCGGGGCAGAGGCCGGCCCGCAGGACCACCATGTCCCTGCCCCCCCCAGGACAGGGAGCGGAGCCCTGCGGAGGACACTGAGCGTGGGTCAGGCACCAGCCTCAAGTGGGACCCCGCAGCCTCCCCACAGCGTGGCGAGACACCACCGAGACCCCATCCCACGCTGTGGGCGATGGGGGGGCTCCATTTATCCCCTAATTTACCACCAGGCAGCCCCCAAATCCTACCAGGCTGAGGCTGGCAGCCTCACCCACGCGGCGCACGCCGAGCCCTGCTCCTGCCTCCCTCCTGGGGGGGACCCCCAGGGACCCCGAGGGCTGTGCCCCAGCCCCACACCGACCCCCCCCCGGCACCCCACAACCCCACAGCTCCCCACGGACCCCCCAGCTCCCCACGGTCCCTTCCTGTTCCTGCGGAAGGGCCGGGTCCGGCCCCGCACCCCCCCTAGCGGCAGCCGTGGGCGAGGGGTCTCGCGTGGGGGGGGTCCCTGGAGCCTCCTCCTCTCTCCCCCCTGGCTGCTGGCACCTAGGGGTGCTCTGGGGCCCTAGGGCAGCTGGTGGGGGTGATGGGGGTGGTGGCTGTGTTAGCGGTTGGGGGTGCAGGTAAATTGGTAAATTTTAAAGTGGGAAAATAGAAATTAGCCAAAACACTCGGGAAATGAGGGGTTGGGTGGGAGGGGGGGTAAGTGAAGCCTTACAGAGCTCCCCGTGCCCCCAAGCAGGGTTTTTGTCCCTTTTATCAAAGGAGGGTGCTGTGTCCAGGGCTGCCCCCAGGTGCCATTGGGGTGCTCTGCAGTCGGGGGGGGGGGGCACGGTCTCCCTGCAGAGCTGTTGGAGCACCCCCGCCTCCTGCAGAGCAGGCTGATGAGAGGAAAAAAATAATAAAAATAATAATAATAATAATAATAAGACCTGTTGTGACTTCTGAAGCTCTTTCAGGCAGGTTTGTGGGGTGGAAAATGAAGGTGCATGGGGGGGGGGCTTCTTGCTCTCCCCGCAGGGAGTTGCTGCAGGGGACTGGGGGCTGCCTCCCTCCCTGTTCCCCTGGGATTTCAACTCCCCAGGAAAAGTTCCCCTTTGCTTTCTCACCCGGAGCCTCAAGAGGGCCCCCAGCACCCACTGAGATGTGTGAGGCCACAGCTGCCCTTTTGGTGCTGAACTGGGGTTACTGGGGGCTCCCCCAGTGCTGCTGCTGGTGGAAGCGGAGCTGTTGGTGTGGGGGGCTCGGGCCAGGCAGGAGGGGAGCTGGCAGGGCTGAGCTGACCTTTCTTGTACCGAAAGCAACGTGGGAAGGCGTTTCTGGCCCATTTGCCCAAGCACGGCCTGGAAAAGCCACCACACCAGGTCCGCCTGAGGCAGAGCAAAGCTCTTACACCCTGCTGAGCTGCCTCTGGACCTGGAGGCGTAAGATCCCCAGGCTGGGACACAGCTCAGCAGGGCGACAAGATAACAAATTCCTCCTGGCAGAGCCTCAGCAGGGGCTTGCACAGCCTGTTGGCACTGCCTGCTGCGGCTCAGCCTCACAGCGTGAGCTGGTCGGGGCAACTGAGCGGGCGTTTTGGGGGCAGAGAAGCTGCAAGGAAGAATTCCCGGAGCTGTGACCCCGTGAAATGTTGTGGGGGCTGAGAGGCTGAGCGCTGGTGTCCCTCGAGCTGAGAGCTGGGGCTCTCATCACAGGAGTGGGCTGCTGGGCTCCGATACAGACTTAGGCGTTAGACTGTGCCTGGGGGGCTGCAGGAGCATGCGACATGGGTGGGATTCCCATCAGGGTGGGATTTCCATTAGGGTGGGATTCCCAGCAGGATGGGATTTCCAGCAGGGTGGGATTTCCAGCAGTTCGGGCTCCCCAAAGCCCTGCAGGGAGGTGGCAGTGCCGGATGCTTCCCCCCCGAGGGCCTTCTGGAAGGTGCTGGGCACTGCTGCAGCTGCCGGCACGGGGCCACTTGTCCCTGTGCAGCTGTCTCGTGCGTCCCTAAATAGAAAGGGAGACGGGTCTGAGCGCTGGGACAGGGGTCAGCCAGCCCAGCCGTGGGCTTTTTTTGGCACAAAGCCCTCCCATTCCTGCTCCCCCTGCCCTGTGCAGCTCCCCAGGTTGAGGAAAGCTGAGATCCATCCTGGCGGGTGGGAGAGCATCCCCTCTCGCTGCGGGGAGCCGCGTCCCCATGCACGGTGTGTCCCCCCTGAGCTGGGCTGGCTGCTGGCGCCCTGGCTCGCAGCCCTCCCCGGGCACTATATAGCAGGGGAAGGGGACAGGCTGCGGTGACAGGTGACACTGACACGCACCAGGAGCTGCCAGGTCCTGCCCAAACTTGGAGTGGAAGGCGAGCTCTTTCCTGAGCCGTACGGACCCTACGCAGTGCCGGCGGACTTCTCAAAGCTGCTTTTTGTTATTTTTTTTTTTTTTTCCATTTATTAATTGGCCCTTAAGGATCGACAACTGTGGGAAAAGCTTCTGAGGAGCCACAGCTTTGAGGAGCAGTTTGATTTTCCAAACACTTCAGCCCGGTAATCTGCTTTTATTCATGTGTGTGGTAATTACTCGCTGGGCTCATGGTGAAGCTCAGCTCGGAGGCGTGGGCGGGCGACCCTGCTGGCACGGGCAGCAGCAAACAGAATGGGCACAAAATCCACGTTTTTCCTTAAAACTCCCAAACAGCCTAAAACATGCATCTTTTTTTTTTTTTTTTTTTTTTAAAATTTATTTATTTTTTTCCCTCTGCCCCCTAGATGGAGGATCCCATCCAGCTGAAAGAGGAAGGCAATAAATACTTCCAGGCCAGCGACTATGAGAAAGCCGCTCAGAGCTACACGCAGGCCATCAAGCTCAGCAAGGACAAGGCGCTGCAGGCAGTGCTGTACCGCAACAGGGCAGCGTGCTTCCTGAAGAAGGTGAGGAAAGCTCCCCCTTTCCATCCCCACAGGGCTGAGCACACCAGTTTAGCTCAGCGATGGTCCCATTTAATCGTTTTGAAGTGCAAGCTTTCGGCAGCCACCCTGCCCCATCTTACGGGGGCTCTGTGAGCCCTGCCTGGGGGTGCAGGGGCATTGCTTGCTGCCTGTCTCAGCACGAAACAGGCACGGATCTGCAGCAAAATGAGTTGCTAGCTCTGTACCAAAACTGTCTCAGCTGTCCGCAAGGCTTTAGCAGGTCGTTTGCGTCCCCTCTTCCACTGCTGCCTGCTGTTTGTTGCTGCAGCAGTGTCTGCTCTCACCCACCCTGCAGACGTTTTCCTCTTTTCCCTCCATCAGTGATGAGAAATGACCTAAACCTCCTCCAGAGCTCTCTCTCCCACCCTCCCTAGGCTCCTACTGGTTTCACTGGGGTGTCCAGTTAGCGGGAGCAGAGGCCACAGTTGCCTCAGCAGCGGGAACGTTCCCTGGTGTTGCACTGCTAACAAATTGCCGTTCTGGTTTGACAGGAGGAATATGCCAAGGCAGCCTCGGATGCGTCGAGAGGTAAGGAGGGGGCAGATTTTAGAAAGTAGAGCTGTTTTTCACACTCACTGCTCTCAGGAGCTGCAGTCGCTGTGAAGCAGATCATGATTTACATGGGGGGATCCTGAGAAGCAAACTGTGATGCCTGGTCTCTCGGATCCCTTTCCCAGCCATCGACATCAATTCTTCGGATATCAAGGCCTTGTACCGGCGCAGCCAAGCTCTGGAAAAACTGGGGAAATTGGACCAAGCGTTCAAAGATGCTCAGAAATGTGCTACCATCGAGCCCCGCAACAAAAACTTCCAGGAGACCCTGAGGCGGCTGGGGGCCGACATCCAGGAGAAGGTAAATTTGGGGGGAGCAGTCCCAGGCTCACAGCCCAGAGGTGGGAAGTCCGAGGTCACTGCTTGCTCTGGGGTCTTGCTGGATCATTGGTCATACCAAAAATTTACAGCAGTGTAGGGGGATAAACAGGCTCTGGAACTGGAAGTTCCTACTTGAAGCATGGAAATCTGAGGATCAGATTGAGTGGGTAAATTAAAAAGCTTCACAGCTTGCTCCCGAGGCTGGGCTGGCCCTGAACATCTTGGTAAGGTCCTGGTAAGGAGCTGGACTGGCTTCAGACGGGGCCTGGAAGTCCCCATGTGGACTGGGCCCTCCACAGAGGAGCTGTGTCCCTTCCCTGCACCTCAAAGCACCACAAGGTCTCAGACGATGGCTCAGGGTTTGGGCCCCTGTGTCTGAAACAGGCAATCGATGCTGTTTCTGAGACGTTACACTTGCTTTGTTGTTCAGCTCACTGCCTGCTAGTCGGAGGCCTGTGGTTGTCTTGAAGGGAAAAGGAAAAATTGCCTCTTGGTTTTCTGCCTCTGACGCTCCGTGCTCTCTGTTGGCACAGCTGCGCATTCAGTTCTCCACGGACCTGAGGGTGCAGAAGATGTTTGAGATCCTGCTGGATGAGAACAGCGAGAAGGAGAAGCGAGAGAAGGTGAGAAGCGCCCCGGCCTTGCCCAAATTGCTGTTGTTTAACACCAGAGGCCCCTGTGAGGAGCTGAAGGCCGCCTTCCCTTCCCCTGATGCGATTTCTTGGAGAAACCTCTCAGTGGGGTCAGAGCTGTGCACTTCTCCTGCCAGCTGGGCGCCCCCAGCTCCCACCAGCACATCCCAGGTCTGGGAGTTTGCTGGAGGAGTTTTGGAGGCCGGGGTCGTGCTGCTAACGTGTCCTCTTGCCTCCCCCCAACAGGCTGCGAACAACCTCATAGTCCTGGGGCGGGAGGAAGCGGGCGCCGAGAGGATTTTCCAGAACAACGGGGTCAGCTTGCTGCTGCAGCTGATAGAAACCAAAAATGCTGAGCTGATCCTGGCAGCCGTGAGGACGCTTTCGGGCATGTGCACGGGACATAAGGCTCGGGTAAGCAGCGGGGTGCTCGGGACCTTCACCGCTCTTGTCTTGCACCTGGGGAGTGGAAAATCAATCGTCAGCAATGTTTGTGAGCAGCGGGGATTTATTCTCCTTCTGCTTCTTGCAGGGAAAAAAATTGAAATCCTACAAATGGCAATTTTAACTCTGGGGAAGACAAGACAAATAAGGAAGTGGGTTAACACAGACCAAAGAAACTGATCCTATCACTGTGCTCCTGACCCCTGAGGTCAAAGCTGTGCTCCTTGTGGTGCCTTTCTGTGTGCTGGTGAAGCAAAATTTAGGATGTCATCACCACTAGTGGTGGTGGGCAGGGCTGGGTCAAGCCCCAGTCCTTTGCCACAGGTCTCAGGAAAGCAACAAATGACTTGGTCTCTGCAGGGAAGTTTTGCCCGAGACTTCTGTTAGAGGAAGGAAAGCAGGGAGGATCTGCAAGACAGTTCAGATTCCTGGGAGGGGTCGCAAGGGAAGTCCCAGCAGTCTGAGCCAGCTAGTGTCTAGCTTGAAATCAAGTTTTTGTCATGCAAAATGGCCCATGAGAGGTCCCGCCTGCTACACGTGTGTGTCCACCTCATGCTTCCAGCCAACATGAGCATGGATGTCCGTGCAGTGGTGTGAAGGAGGAGGGGGGGGGAACTATAACATGACAGAAGATGGGTAACACCTCGGATAAAAATCCAGTGCTGTGGACACCTATTTGCTTTCTGAAACCTTCATTTCTGACAACTCTGGATTTTTAGGAGTTGTTTTATAAATGAATATTAGGCTAAAAAGCAAAACTGCCCTTTGCAGACTCAGGATTCACCCGACAAAATTCTTTTTTACGAGCCAAGCCTGACTTTTGTAAAGCATGCAGGAAGGACCGGCTCTTCCCCTTTGCTGACTGCTGCTTGGTTTTCTCCTTTCTGGGGCCAGGCCACCGCGATTCTGCACTACCTGGGCATCGACAACATCTGTATGTGGATGTCGGTGGACAACGAGGAGATCTCCCTGGCCGTCTGCAACCTCCTGCAGACCATCACTGACTGCCTGCTGGGCCAGGGCAAAGAGGAGCAGCACGGGAAGGAGGAGGCTCTGGTGCTAGGTAATGTGCAGTCCCTTGGTCTATCCGAAGAAACAGGTGCTTTCTGCTCTGCCTTAAACACCTACGTTGCAGCCATGTGGTGGCTTTGAGTGGTTTTCACTGGATTCGCCAGCTTTCAGAGAAAACTTCTCCTAACTGGCTGATACTGCCTTGCTTCTGTAGATACTAAAAAAGACTTGAGGATGATCACAACACGTTTGCTGGATATGTTGGTCAGTAAGAAAGTGTCTGGGCAAGGACGAGACCGAGCTCTCAACCTCCTCAACAAGAACATACCGAGGAAAGACCTGAAAGACCATGACAACAGCAGGACCATCTTTGTCATTGACAACGGTGAGTCCTTCCCCTCCATTCCTGCTCTGGCCTGGGAGGCACGGAGCTGCCTATTGCTTGAATAGCTGGAAAACTGTTCCTCTCTACAAAATGAATTCACTCGTTTTTGTTTTTGTTTTTTTTTTTATTTGGTGCATGCAAGCCTGGAGCAAATTCAGAGCTTATTAGCAGGAAACAGTTTTAAGGTTAAGAGGAAAAAAAAGCATGTATGACAACAAGATCTCTTCAGTTTCCAGAGAATTGGTTTAAGCTTCTCCAGCTAGTTTATTCCAGTGTATTTGCTGATGCTTGTAATGTTAGGGCAATTTGGCTTGCATAAATTGGGTGCCTTAGGCAGGAGGAGATGAAAAACTGCTGGGTTTCCTGGATGCTTGAATTTAATTTCTAAAGGGGGGAGGGTTAATGTGTGGGCTGTTTTATATCAATTCCAATGTGTGCGTGTTACCATTTTGGTGAAAGTTATTTAATAATGCTTCTAGCAAAAGGAGGGTTGAGACACCCAGAGTCACTTGAGGGTCATGACTTCTCCCCAGTAAGAGCCTCCAGCCTGGGAGGTCAGGGGGCTCAACGCCTCCTGACCCAGCTGGGGCCCCGCTGCACAGTTCTGCTTCTTCGAGAGCTGGATAAATGCTCCATGCTGCAAACCTACAACCCACCAGCAGAAAGTCCCAGTAAATATCTCAATAGCTTCTTTGTCTACAGCTTACGTGATTAGGCTATAAAAACTAAGATGGTTGTTTTGTTGCAAGAACCCAGCAAACTATCCCAAATGTTGCCCAGGCCCTCTCTGCTCTAGCAGCCCTATCACTTCATTGTTCCCAGGCTTAAAAAAGATACTGAAAGTGGTGGGCCAGATTCCTGAGATGCCTGACTGCCTGCCGCTGACAGAGAACACCCAGCTGACTGCGTCCATCCTCCTCAATAAGCTGTACGACGACCTGCGCTGCGACCCGGAGCGTGACAACTACCGGGTGATCTGCGAGGAGTACATCAAGTGAGTCGGGTGGGCTTGGGGTGCAGGAGGGCTAAAGAAAGCGACGGGCTCTGGCAGTGCAGCTAGATGCCAGACTGAGGCCCTGGGGGACGATTTGCTTGAGATCCTGCATGATTCCTCAGCATGGGTCCTCGAATCCTCGCATACTCCTACCTGCTGGATCATGACCTTTGCATGGATTTGGGCTGGGTTGCGTCCCAAAAACCTATGTATTTCACCAGCAGAGTCAAATCCAGCAGAGAAATGAAGGACCTGTTATCCTCTTGAAACAAAACTGCTCTCTATGTCCCTGCTTCCCCTGCCAGAGTGCAACAAAGGGGATCCCTCGGGCAACCTGAACATCTATCCATGCCCCACCCCACCATTCCTGGTGCCCTAGCTCTCCCATGGGGTGCAGTAGCAGTGGGTCTAGCTTTCCAGCTGCCCCCGATCTGGTGGAGGACATTCCCTGTCCCACAAAGAACTACCCAAGGGAATGAGAACAGTGAGCAGCCACTGAGCCATGTGCTGACTTCCTATGTCCCATGCAGGAGCAAAATCGACCCCCAGAACATGGATAAGACACTCCACGCCATCCAGATGGTGTCTGGGGTTCTGCAAGGGCCCTTCGACTTAGGCAACAAGCTGCTGGGCATGAAGGGAGTCATGGAGATGATGGTTGCCCTGTGTGGGTCCGAGAGGGAGATTGACCAGCTGGTGGCTGTGGAAGCCCTCATCCACGCCTCCACCAAGCTGAGCCGGGCCACTTTCATCATCTCTAACGGAGTGACGCTCCTGAAGGAGATCTACAAGAAGACCAAGAATGAGAAGATCAAAATCCGAGCTCTGGTGGTAAGGATGTCAGCCTCCTGCCTCTTCTCCACCTGCCCTGCTCCCCACCGTGCCCATGGACTTGAGAGAGGGAGGAGGTCCTGGGAATGTACTGGGTCACCCCTTGCAGCTGGGGGATGGCTTCTGGTGCTTCCCCTGCAAGACAGGGGGAGAGAGCAGACCAGAAAAGCACAGGGTTTTTTGGCAACATTGAAGGCAAAACTGGTTAAAGACATCCCGTGAGAGCACAGAATCGGACTGCTGTGCTACGAGCTAAAAAAATCTCCTGGGTATTGGGATGTTTCCTCTTAGACCTGACTTCAAATTTTAGATATGGGATTAGGCTGATTCTGGGCAGCACCACTAGAGGATTAATGAACCTTTCTCCCTGGTGTATTTTCTTCTTCCTCCTCAGGGTCTCTGCAAGCTGGGCTCAGCAGGAGGGACAGATTATGGACTGCGACAATTTGCTGAGGGGTCCACCGAGAAGCTAGCCAAGCAGTGCCGAAAGTGAGTTTTACCTTGTCTTTTCTCCTGTTATTCCATACTTTCTCGAAATACAATATGCTCCTTCCCCATGAAATCCTGCCCACGCATTGCCTTCATTTCTTGTTGCTGCTTGACAGCTGATAATGCCCGTGGGGCCATTGCTCCAGGACCTGGAGCTCTTCAAAGCCTCAAGCAGCTGGTGTTCCCCCTGCCTCAGTGCTGTGTGGCTGTCCTAATCTGTTCTTCCATGCGGCCTTTGGGTCCCTCGCGTTGGGCCATGGGAGGAGGTCCTGTCTCAAGGGACCCAGAAGGGAGTTGCAGCAGGACCTACGTAGAGGTTCAGGCCTGACGCAGTTCTCAGCCCATCTTAATTTTTTCCTCTCAAATAAATTAGTGCTGGCTCCTGAGATAAATTCGGATTTCTCTCTTCCAGGTGGTTGTGCAACACCACCATTGATGCCCGCACCAGGAAGTGGGCCGTGGAAGGACTGGCATACCTGACCCTTGACGCAGATGTGAAAGATGACTTCGTGGAAGACGAGCAAGCCCTGCAAGCTATGTTTGAATTAGCCAAGGTGCTTTCCCCTTACCTTGTTCTCTCACTCCTTTGGTAGCATCGAGCTCTCCAGAGAAACACTGTCTCCCCAAGCCAGCAAAATTGTGACCCCAAAGTCTCACTTATATCTAGCCTAGCAAAATTTCAGTTTTTCAGCAGCTGAGACACCTCAAGCTTGTTCTCATCCTGGTCTTCTCCCAGGAGTGTGGAAAGTTGCTCTTACCTTTACTATCAGTAGGTGTTCCTGCACAAAAACGAAAAGCATCAAGATTCGGACAGCATTTGATGAGGCCACATCCTGTTTAACCTTAATTTCCATTTTTCCCTGACCTGGGGATAGTCCAATGGGCACTTCAGCTAGGACTGCCACTGTGGTGGCTTGCAGTCTGGGGACACGTTTCCCTGCCATGTTCTCTTCGCCCTCACATGAACTTGTATGTTTCTGTGCAGATGAGTGACAAGACTATCCTGTATTCTGTGGCTTCTGCACTGGTGAACTGCTCCAACAGCTACGACACCAAGGAGCTGGTCCCGGAGCTGGTCCAACTGGCAAAATTCTCCAAGCAGCACGTGCCTGAGGAGCATCCAAAGGTAGGTTGGAGGAGATGCTCAGATCTGAAGATTTTCTTCAGTGTATTCCTTGTCACAGACCTCAGGCCTCCTGGCTCCCAGGCTACGAGGCTGCAATCTCTGTGCTCTCCAGCCAGGCTTGGCTGTAGTCGAGCAGGATGGGGGCTGCTGAGGGGCTGACCCCTTTCCAATGTCCCCCCCTGCCAGGACAAGAAAGATTTCGTTGTGAAGAGAGTGAAGCGGTTGCTGAAAGCCGGCGTCGTCTCTGCCTTGGCCTGCATGGTGAAGGCAGACAGTGCCATCCTGACAGACCAGAGCAAGGAGCTCATAGCCAGGTGCCTGCCTTCTGTCCTGGGAGCCGGGGGTGCTGGGCTGAGATGGGTGCCTGGGCTGGCTCCTTGTTTGCGGGGTGGTGCCTATGGGGGCAGGATGAAACGGGGGTGGAGAAAAGGCTTAAGCACAAAGCCTTTCTTAACCTATTTCATAAAAATGCTCGTGCTGGCATCGAAGCTGGCTTACGGGGCTGTCTTGCAAGTCTGTGTTGCGAATTTCTAGTCACCCGTACTGGTTATTGCCGTCTGGCATGGCTGTTTCACTGAGCGATGCTGTGCTTTGCAGGGTGTTTCTTGCATTGTGTGAGGACCCCAAGGACCGCGGGACCATCATCGCTCAAGGTGGTGGAAAGGTGATGACTCTTATCTGCCTGGTGTGCATCTAATGTCTGTCGGGAGCCTACAGTGAGGGAAGGTGGCAGAAAAGCCTGAGCTGTCCTGGTAGGCCCTGGGGCACAGACTGGCTGCAGTCTTACCTCTGCAAGCCTCTAATGAAGCTTGCAATGAACCTCTAATGAACCTTGAAATAACTATTTGTCAGCTTCCAGCTCTGGCATGGTGCATGGATGAGAGCAAATGGAAAACATCACTGTAGGCTACTGTCCAGACCCATTTCTTCAAGAGACAAATCTTTAGGATATTTTAAACTTATCTTAGCATACATCAAGGCCATCCCGTGAATCTTCTCAGGGGCATTTAATGCTTTCCTCTGTGTCACTAGGCCCTGATACCTCTGGCTCTGGAAGGTACAGATGTTGGCAAGATAAAGGCTTCTCATGCTCTGGCAAAAATTGCTGCTATTTCCAATCCAGATATAGCATTCCCAGGAGAGAGGGTAAGTTAAAAAATATATATATATATATAATAATTAACTCCATTAGCAAATGGAAATTGCCAAGATTTGAAAGCTGGAAAAGCGGTGACACGTGTGACATGCTCTGTCATAGGTGTATGAAGTGGTGAGGCCCCTTGTCAGCCTGCTGAACACAGAGAGAGATGGCCTCCAGAATTATGAGGCTCTGTTAGGTCTCACTAACTTCTCAGGAAGAAGTGACAAACTTAGGTGAGTGTACCTGCTTTTTGACCTACCTTTCTTTCCCATACACTTTATCAGGAGTGATTTTTCTTTTTTTTTTTTTATCGGGAGTGAATTTCAGTTCAATGCTTTTCTTACAGGACTGCAAAGACTGATTAATTTGAGCTACCTTTGGCAGAGATAAAAAGGTCTTAGAACAGAAACATTAATATAATAATAATCAGTAAGAATAATTGCATGTTTTCCCCTAGAAAAATGAAAAACAATGTGAATTCAATTGGAATTAGATAAGGGATGAAGCATGTGTCATGAGTTTCATGAACTGTGGGCACAGATTTATGTCAAGCCCTTCCCTGCCTCCCCTCTGTCTGCAGTTAATATTTTAGTGTGACTGTGGCATGTCCCATAATCTATTTTGACTCCTCTTCAACACAGGATGAAGATAGTCAAGGAGAAGGCATTGCCAGACATTGAAAACTACATGTTTGAGAACCATGACCAACTTCGACAGGCAGCCACAGAGTGCATGTGCAACCTGGTGGTCAACAAGGAGGTAACTCACTCTGCATCTCAGACCTGACTGCATGCACCAGCTCGTGAGCCACCTCAGTGATGCATGCATAACTGTGTTGTCTCTGGATATCATGTGTTTTTTTTTCAGGTACAGGAGCGGTTCGTGGCTGATGGAAATGACCGGCTGAAGTTGGTGGTGTTACTGTGTGGTGAGGATGATGAGAAAGTGCAGAGGGCAGCAGCAGGAGCCCTGGCCATGCTTACGGCAGCACAAAAGAAACTCTGCTCTAAGATGACTGAAGTGGTAAGACCATCAGTAGAATCACTGGCAGTGTAGATGTAACCTTGAAAGGGGCCTGGCTCAGTGAAAATGCTCATAAGGAAGATGTAGTCTACCAGATGGCTAACAAGGAGCTTAGTGGTGAAGCTGAGACCCAGGTGTGCATGCTCCTAGTTCACTCAGGCACAAACTAAAACAGTCTTGTTTATGTCAGCCTCCAAGACTTCATCTCAGATGAAACATTTTTATGTCGCTGTTCCTCAAGTGAGGTCCAGCATACAAGGTTATCAAACAAGGTTAGGAATGCAGAATGGCATTCAGTATAGATCCTTAAAACCTGCCTTACGTAACCTGAAATCCAAACCTTGCTTCATTCAGAAATGAAAAGAGCTTGATCAGTAATGTATTGGGCTTCACAGATACCAAAACATCTGCGCTTCCTGCAGAGATCTCTAGTCCTGAGAGTGCAGACCCTGCATAGCAATAGCTGAGGTTGCCTCTGTTAGTGGCACACATGCTGATGTTGGACACTGGGGTTTGTTCGAATACAAATCATCAATCAAGCCAAAGGAGGGGCTCAGGAGAATTACTGGGGGAAGTGGACTGCTTCCAGTCACCTCAGCTGTGTTGCTTCTCTAGCAAGATTCTCTGCTCAGAGATTATGCAGCAGCGTAAATGTGGAACTTCTGTTTTATGTGGTGCTAGGGTCACGAAAACTCCTGATGGGGAGGGGGGCAGGCAATATGTGAAGGGGTTCACAATTTTGGAGTCAGGTTTCCTTAGATACAGAACCAACTAACCATACCTGACGTAAGTATGAAGAGGTGAGTCCCTGTTCTTCCGCTGGGACATGCCTCGCCAAACTTGTGCTCTTGGTTGAGGTATTCTTCAAACCAGTACTAATGATATCTCCCTTCCTTGAAGACCACCCAGTGGCTTGAAATCCTGCAGAGGCTCTGCTTGCACGATAACATGGAAGTGCAGCACCGTGGACTGGTCATCACTTTCAATTTAATCAGCGCCGACAAAGAGCTAGCAAAGAAGGTGGTGGAGACAGAGCTCCTAGAGATCCTGACCTTCATTGGCAAGCAAGAAGATGATCCCAAGAAGCAGCACATCATTAATGTAGCACGTGATTGCCTCACAAAATGCATGGATTATGGACTGATCAAACCTCTCTCTCGAGCATGAGGAAATGAAAAGTACTGAAAAAGGCTGAGTGGGGAGAAAAAAAAAAGCTACTGGGAAATGAGGAGAACAGAGCCATGAAGAAAACTTATTCCCATTGTCAAGGCATAGACTACAGCTGGGGGACAGTTTTAGGAGATCAGAAACTGTATTAGGGAAAGGGTGACATTTGCATCAGAAATTTGGAAAATATCCGAGTAGTTTCTAGATGGTGTAAATTATTTCTTTGTCCCCATTCAGCTGATAATACTTAAAAGTTTCAAGGCCTAGGTATGGAAAGGGTTGTTTGGGAAATGTGCCAGGGGCTGTTGAAGAAAACTCAACTGAAATTGGTTCTGCAGCCATCCACAGCTCCTGGTACTTCAGTAATTGCTACCAATGATGGAACCAGGAGGAGATTTAATTGCATCCCATCCTGCATTCAGAAAAGAAGTTGGCTGTTAGTTGTGTGCTTTTTTTTGTGTTGTTCATTTATGGCATTTTTAAATGTTTTTAAGTGGTGTGCCAGAGTTTGAGGCTGGAGGATGAACTTTTAATAAATTTATTACTTCGTTCCATGTGGAATCTCTACTGTTCTGCTTAAATTAAGCAAATGGAGGATCTAGGGCAATTCCCAATCTCAAGTTTGCTTCATATCCAGCAATGTGAGCACAAGCTGAATTTACACCACTTGCAAAATAATCTAATGCTGCTCAAAAGAACGTGTGAAGGCACTGTGAAAATAGGCTATATGAAGAGGCAGCACTAATGGGATAAGCTGGCATTCATATCAGGGCACGCAGTGGGCTCAACATGGAATTTTGAAACTATCTCACTTAGGAAAGAAGAATGAGAAGAACACCAGGTGATCAAATTAAATTTTTACTTTATAGAAGTTTACAATCAAGCACAGATTCTTTACGCATACTATGCACACTGATCACAGACCCTTGCTTTAATTAGCAGAGGGGAACAGAAATCTGAGTATACAGTAACTACAATCAACAATGATCTAAAAATGAAGTACATTCAACCATTTCTGATCATAATAATTGTCAGTGATCCTTGTCTGATAGGCACGGCATGATTAAGTGATTGAAGTGTGGGGATCATGAAAGAAACCACATGGGTAGTCTTTCCTAGTTGCTGACTGAAGAAAAAAGTGGAAGGTGCCTCTACCTTCCAGAAGTTAGAGAAGCAAGAATGTTTAAGCTAATAGGTTTGACAGTTTAGAGGCAAATTTACTTGAAGGATGGATTCCAGCTGTCTACAACATCTTGTTTTTGCACACACACACGATAATATTGTTGGTGCTTTATGCTAGCTGGGTAATCAGAGTGTTTTCCCAAACCAGATGAACCGTAGGTCATTCTGTAGTGGAAAACAATATGAAGGTTCATGGGTTGCTGTCAACTAGCCTTCAGTTTTACATGCTCAGTTTTAGGAATTTGAGATCTGCCCTTTGCAAGTACTTCGCACCTAACTACAGAGTTTTACATAACCAGCATGTCTGAAACCAAGACAGAAATCCTATTGGTACATAAAGGCAGTTAAGCAAACCTTTTCTTGTCCCACTAAAACTACTTTGGCATAACTGAGTGGTTCTAACCCATACTGACTTGCTGAAGTTGAGTGGGAAGCTACTCCTGTAAAAGCTATTTATTTGTACGCTAGTTAAAACATGGACAGAAGACCTCAATTTTACTTTTCTGGCTATCTGAATGAAAGCTCTTTTTAAAAATGGCATCTGACACTGGATGCCTGTGCTGTTTGGTGCTGTTCTGAGCAGTACTATACATGTAGGTACAGGAGTGATTTCTTTTCATATCACCAGTACTCATAGAACAGGTGTAGATTTAAATTAGCTCTGGATGCTACACATACTAATACATTTTCAAAAATTTCATCCTGATATGGAAGGGGATTAGGAACAATACCAAACACAATAGTTCTTTCTAAACCAGAGAAACGACGGAAGCTGTCAAGAATCATGTGCCTCTCTAGTCCTCCACCCAATTTTCCTAGTAATTTTTTCCCATTTTTTCCTAGTAATATTTTTAACTTCCACATTTTTAATGTCAGTATTTCCTGGTACGCTTCTACTTCTTCATCTTTGTAGCACAGAATAGCGATATCTTTCTCAGAGTAACCGCTCTTAAGGTACATGCAGCAATGCTTTGCCACATACTCTGCTATTTCATTTTTGTCCTTTGCCTCTACTATTTCACAAGAGCCAGGCACAGCAGAAGCACATGCGGCTGTACTTAACAACTTCTGTAAATGTTTTTGTGGAATATTTATAGCAGGGTCCTCTACAATCTTCTCCATTTTGGTTTTTAGATAGCAAAAGATGCTGTTAGCATTACGAACCACTTTGGTTAGTGACTCAACGGGATCATGCCATCTTGGTTCTGGAAGACCAGTTGAGAAGCTGTGACTTGTCTGCAAGTAGTCCAAGAAAATCCAGAGAAAGCCAGGCTCGGGGAGGTGTGGTGATGAAGTCAGGTCCAAGGCCTTTTGATACCAGTCACCCTCCCCAACTTGGAAATTCTGTGCTTCATCAATTATTATGTGCTTCACATCAACAAAGATGTTCCCCAAAAAGGCCACTCTTGTCACAGCTTGGCAAATATTTTTCTGTCTACAGAAGAAATACAAGCAGATTAAAAACAATCTCTTTGTGTTGTAAACTACTAGTTACTTGACCAGAAGGAAGTGAATGCCAATGATATTTAAATCATATTTATTACTACATGCTCAGGACGTCAAGAAAAAACAAAAATCAAGCCTTACTCAAAATGCATCCCAAATACACACTTCAAACACTATACCCACCATACCAAATATGCTAATCAGTACCCAGCTATTTTAAAAATGAAGGTCAAATAATAACATGTTGAAATGAGTAACTGGAGGAAGGACTTACCTCACAAAGTCTCTCAGAGGCTGGTTCTCACATATGTAAAGAACCTCCTGTTGTCCGCACTGAAACATACTTCTTATTTTCTCTATGATGTTCAGCGCCACGATAGTTTTTCCTGTTCCTGGTAGACCGTGAACAAACAGCTTCTTAGTTTTGTGGAGGTTTTCTGACAACAGCTGGTATTGTTTCATGGTCAGGACGTTCAAAACCTCAGAACCAACACGATCACTTAAAAAGGATTTGAAAGTCAACAAAGCTATTGTGAGAGAACGCAAGAGGTCTTTCAAGTTTATTCTCTTGATTAGGCTGTAGTTTTGGGGATACATTTCTTGAATGTTCACATCCCCTTTTTCATGGTTAAATACGGGAGGCAAAATCAATAGCTTTGGTATTATACACAGTTTGTGAATATAGCCCCCAGTGTTGACTAATTTCTCCTTCAGCTTCCTGGCTGTGCATTTCGAGTATTCAAACAAATCCTTAGAGATCTGACGCTTACAGACCGTGTAGAGGATAGGTGGCCAATCCGTGGCTAGTACAAGAATGTCACAGATTATGTCTCGGTTTTCTGGCAAACCAACATCAACAGCCCAGCTTCTGGAATATATCACAATTCCCTCAGATATCTGCCTCAGTTGTTCTTCCATTAAAATCTTCAACTTTGGATGCTCTTGAAAAAGGTCTTCAGTGAGTTTTTCTGGAGTATATATTATGCTGCGGGATTTTACTATCAATACAGAGCAAAAGAAATAGTCAGTGTTAGTTTAAAATATGCAAATCCAGCCCTCCGAAATGATGCTGTGGGAATTAATAGTGCTGAAAGGTTACAAATTCAGACCCTCACTGCCCAAAAGCCCTTTTCTGCTTCTTCAAATTTTCCTCACCCACTCCATGTATTTCTAGTTTCTTTTGCAAAGACTGCATCCTCAGGGAACTTAATCCTTTTTCCTAGCCAGATATCAGTCCCTTTGCTAAAAACATTAGCACATGGCCAGCTTATGCCAACCTTTCTCAGTATATTGGCCTAGCAGACAGAGAAATGAAGATTAACAAAGAAATCAGTAAAAAAGCCTCTGGACACCTGGCTGATCTCGCAATGCCACAGAAACACTGGATTGTAACTGGGAGCAGACACTCCACTCTGTTCCCAGCCCCAGTCACCTCTCCTATTTTAGGCTGATTCCACATAAACTTTTCCTCCCATCTTTCCCGTTTTCACTGGATTGTGAAAAGACGTTGGCAGGGCTGTGTACAGTCCCCAGAGAAGTTCAGCTAGCTGAGCTCTGTCATGTATACACAGCAGTGTCCTGCAGAACACCAGTACTTGAGGAAGGGCTCACCAGACATTTGAATGCAACACTGCTGTCAGAGCTGCAAAATATTTCCAGCTTTTTCACCTATTTAAAGAATGTTTTCAAACTCATCTTTGACCTCGACCACGGCCTTGAGATTCATCATGTAAACCTATCAGACAGTGAAAGCAATGTGTACACCTACCTGGAAACAGTTTTTCACAGAGATCATCAACATTGTCAAGGCCCTGGTGCGAATAAACTGGCTTGGCAAGGGGTGGCCCCTCTGACAGACTCAGTGCTAATGTAAAGGTCTGAGACAACCCTGAAAGATCTGGAAAAGAGAAATAAAAATGTGATATAGTGTGAGCTTTTGCTGCCCATTACTGCAAGGGGCACAAGCAGTCGTCATGCTGGTTTCAAAACTTTCACTCTTCTTAAAAAAAAAAAAAAAAAAAGATGAACAAACAGAAACTTTGGAACTCATGTGGGCAGCAGCTGATTGGCAACAGAATGGGCCCTGGCCATCGATCATGGAGCTGCTCTTGGTTTTCTTATCTCATTAGTTGCCCCTGTGACATCTAACCCCATTAATGATACCCCTTTCAGTGCCCAAGAACTGGCCAATGAACAATTTCTCCATCCACAGCTCTCTCCCTACTGGACTGGCAGCAGCATCAGAGAATGTCACAAAAAGTAAAGAAAAGTAAAGAAAAGGAGGAAAAGTAAAGATTCAGCCCTAAAGCAAAAATTGAACTCTGGCCGTTATGTACAATAACACAGGTACTGGGGTCTAACCTCCAAAGCAGTCCTTGTCACCTTGAAGCATAGAGACCTCCTGCTGCAAAGGCAGTCGATAGCATTGGTATTAGCAAGCTGCTGGTCACCACGCCTAGTCACTGCAGCCTGAAACCAGCATTACAAAAGGTAACAGAAAGGCAGGTATTTACCAAGGACATGAAGTCAAAATTGACCATGAGTGGTCAAAATTTTTAGTTTGGTTAGGCCCACAAAGAACACTGAAAAGCAAGTAAGATTACCTAAGGAAAACAACAAGATGAGGAACAAGAATCGTAAAAACATTGAACAGCCCAGGTTAGAAGGGACCTAGAAAGATCACCAGGCTCAACTTTAAGAAAATAAAAGGGAATATGGAGAACAGAAGGGGATTGTCTTGGGTCTTTTGGACCTGGATCAGCAGAGATCATCCATGTGGCCCATTCTTTTGCGTTCAGCTTCTTGATAGTGGTACCTTCCACTTGCCACGACTCTGGGTCTTTTGCAAACACGGCACAAGTAAACGGCTCGATCTTCACAGCGCAGACATGGCTACGGTGCTCTCCAGCCTCATCATATACTTTGAAG